ATGCAATATCAATTAGCTATAAAAATATACCCTTAGAAAGGAATTAACAGTGATATACTGAGGATCGAATTATAATACTAGGGTTATATTTAATTGAGCCTGGTCCTTGCAGTCTTGAAGCCAACTCTTTTTACTTACTATACACACGCACAATCATAATGTTAATCTTATTATTCACATGCATAATCATAAGTATTAAGTGATACTACTACTCCTTACTACCAGATATTTGGCATTTTACTGTAAGAAAACAATCAATACATATAAACAATTAAGATAATTATGGATTTACCCACAATGTCTATACCAAGAATTTATTGTATGATCTCCTTTAAAATTAAATCGTACAATTGCATGATTAGACAATTGCTTGCATTGGCTATAATCTGCATAATAATTATAAACCATTATTGTACAGTATTTATTGTGCTTTGCAAAAAGATGTGACCGCAATGTCATATGAAAATCAGAGATTCTGTAGATTTTAAGAATATTATCGATTTCAAATAAATATCATAACTGATCAAAAATATATAGACAATTTAGAATCTCAGAAATTTTTCTCAATCAATATCACAAAAATCATTGGGTTGCATCTTTTTGTAAAGCGCTATAATTAGTTAATTGCTTTTCTTAGCTGTAAATTGCTTATTAAACTGATGAAGCCATATAATATTTATAAATTATATATTTATAAATCATTCACTTATAATATAAATGATTTTTAAAAAATCACAATTGTTATGAATACTATTCGTTTTAAGTTTCAAACAACCGAAATACAGGTTATATTTTTACATAGCCCATAAAATATTTCATCTGCGAATCACTATTCAACCTCTAAGTAATTACTTAAATTCATATGAAAAATCCTTGCTGTATATAAGAAAGGTAATTTGAATTATTGATATTATACAAGGAAATAATGATATAACAATATTAATTTTGAAGCATGAAAATTTTAAAATTTCATAGATTAATATATTGGATTTTATATTTTTTCGCCTATGCGATGTATCGCCACTCATAAGATCATGTGTAATGTGAAATTAAAACAATGAATAATAATGTGCTGATTTAAAGTTAGGGTTAGCATTAGTAGTGTGGCTTTAAAAAATAAAAATTCTAACCTAAAATTTTGCAAAGAATTTTTTTAATTAGAACGTAAGAGGCGGTTTCATAAACAAAATCTTGAGTTATAGACAATTTTTCAAAAAGACCATATTTTGTTTCGATTTCACGTTAATTGGTCAATCAGAGGTAGCGATACATCGCTATGCGATAAATTACAATACTCTTATATATTTACCTGCCTTATAACAAAATTTGTCTTTAATCATATTCTTTAGAATGTTTCGTAGCCTTATTATTAGTTTTAATCGCCCCTTTTCTATAGAATTCTTTTTGGTCTAACTGACAGAATTCACATAACAGATAAATTTGCTTGAACCATTCTTTTAAAGACTGAGGAGGAGTTACCAGATCTTCTCTACTTCCACAATAATAGCAAATCAGATAGTTTCCTTTACGACTTGAGTAGTACAATATTTCAATTAGTAAATCGCAATTAATTTGCGAACGTACGAATATAACTTCTTTTAAGTAATAATCATCAGGAAAAATTGGTATGCCACAGGAGTATGAATATGATTCTAATATTTGTTGATAATCCTGTTGTTCTTCATTAGTTAAAGACTTGTTACTGTATACATAATGATGTTTTTGGCAATTTTCACAATCAATATAACCACAGATTTTTTTGAAAATTAGGATGGATTTTGGAATAGACTCTGAATTCACCTTTGACTGAATATATGTCGGCCTATATTCTTCTATGGTTTTAGTACCATAAACTTGTTGAAAAATTGTATAATGATCTATATTATCTAATTAAATTTGTTAATATACAGTATATGTATACATAATTCTAAAGAATAATATAATTTACCTTTTGATGGGATTGGATCTGGAAGAAAGTTCAAATTATGAAACTCATGTGATGGAAGACAGATTGGCTTGCAATATAAGCAGGAATAATTGTTACATTTTTTTACCTTCAATATATAAAATTTCAATTAGTGTTCAAACATAAAATAAATAAAATACATGTTTTTGTGACTTGCAAAATTCTGTATCTTCTCTTGAAAAATATCAAAGAGAAGTTGCACAATTGTTATGTGATTACTAATGATTTCTTAAAACTATTAGAAATTATAAATAATTAGTAATCACGCAAATTTTGCAAACTGCAATAATTTCAATGCTTCAATTGTGATTCTATTTTAATTTGTAATTTTAATAGCAAATTACTATCGCTATCCATTATATCTATTGTAAATACGTGCCTGAAAACTATAAGCACGCATTTGGCAATGAGTATCCATAAACCTAACTAATGTTGTATGGCGACGCATTTGTGCTTGTGTAGTTTCGTCGATTTTTAATGTTGAATCAATACTAGAAATTGACTAATCAAAAAATTAATTATATTTTATAATATCAGATATATATAAATAAAGAAAATTTACGTCGTAATAAAATAAATAACCAAACAGATTTAAATACAACTCTTCCCACCGATCCTCTGTACAAAAAAAGAAACTAAACAAAAAACCAATAATTTACTCAAAAATAATTACTTTATCACGAATTTATTTGTTTCTCTTAA